CATAGTTTTTATTTTCTTTAGGATTTTAGAAATCTATCTATCTATCTATCTATCTATCTATATATATATATATATATATATATATATATATATATATTATAGTATATATCACATGTAGTGCTAGTGTTAACAAAATCGTGATTGATGTAATAAAACAGAGCTATAGGTACATATTAATAAATAGGCATATTATTCCTCATCGAGGGCACGACTTGGAATTTCATGTACAACGTAATCTTCAGGTGCTGAGTATAAACTGACCGTTACGTAATTTAAATTTTAATACAAATATATGGTTTTCGCAATATTGGCTCAGTTATATATTATACTGGGATTGCAGTTTTTTAATTTTTAAAAATATATTTGCCATTTAAATTAAACAGGATATATATATATATATATATATATATATATATATATATATAGACATCTAACGTAGACCTGTTTAACAGGTGTAATATTGTAGGAATCGAGACTTTTCTCATACAGTCTCAGTTACGGTGGCCTGGTCATGTCTTGAGAATGTCTGATGACAGGATACCCAAGATCCTAATGTACAGCCAGTTAGATCAGGGCTACAGGAATGCAGGACACCCATGGCTAAGATACAAAGACAAGCTAAAAAGCAACTTGTCAGCAGTTAATATACCACATAACACCCTTGAGCACTTTGCCTTGGAGCGGGTACAATGGAGATCAACGTGTTTTAGTGGACTGAGCAATTTTCACTCTGCTTGCCTGAATCATCTTCAAGAAGCGAGAGCAAGGTCTAAAAGGTCAGCTAATCTAACAGTGATCTCATCTCACAATCCTTACATTTGCTCCATATATGGCCTCCTTTGTAAATCACTAGCGGGTCTTAAATGCCACTTAAGATTATCGCACAAACTTTCATAACTGAATCAATAAGCTGTCAGTTCCTCATATGTCGAAACCGACGGGAGAGTCCATTATATATACACACACACACACACACACACACACACACACACACACATATATATATATATATATATATAGTACAGGTAAAAAATCCGTTGGTATATAATCCAAGTGGATCCTCGTAATATCAAATATTAAAACTGATGTGTAAAAAAAAATATGAGAATAATGTGATTGTGAATATTTATTTTTATATTAAGCATATAGGGATATTAATGGATCTTTAAAAATAAAACATAATTTACATTAAAAATTAACCTGGATCAACGTATTCGAGCAGATATACCTGATGGACTTCCTTCGGCAGTTAGTTGGAGATTCGTCTCCCCCTATGCTGGTCGAACTCTCTGCCTTTGGTCAGAGTGGGACCCAGACGAGGCTGTGTCGAATTCTGGGTTCCACTCTGGGATGGTTGAGAGATACCCGACCCCGTTTTCATGGGGAATTTTTTGCCTACGGGCTCGGTTTTGACCCCGAATTAAAAACGGCCTTGTGCCACATTCTGCCACGCGGGCGAGGGTAAGGTACGGCAATTAGTTGGAAATTCGTGTCCAGCTGTGCTGATCTAACTCTCTGGCTTCCAGACAAGGCTATGCCGAAAGGCAGAGTTTCCTCTGGGGTGGTAGGTAGCTACCCGACCCCAGTTTTTTACGTGGTCTTCGGGGAATTTTTGCCCGAGCTTACGGGCTCGGTTTTGCCCCGCATTAAAGAAACGGCTTTGTGCCACATCCTACCTCGCGGGGACGTTAGGTAAGTAACCTTGCTTCGGGAATTTCTAGCCTGCCACCCGATTATCTGTCTTTCAGTAATGTGTTCTCTTTTACAATAAACCTCTCTTTCTTACTTCTACGCGCGTGCTGCTGTTCCTTTCTCTCGAGTACCACATTTGTTTGTTTGTAACCTTCTTTAAGGATACAACATTTTGTAAGAATCTTTTTTAGGGTTTGTGAATGATTAAAGTGCTTACGAATTAAATTTAGGAAAATTCTCCCGATATTCTTTTGGACATTACCATTACTGTCATCTCTATAGAGTTCGAGTTCCTTAATGTCGAAAATAAATCTTAGTCGCCACAATAACAAGATTCCAAGAACATCACATGCATCTGCTGAGTCATATGCACCAATTTCAATATTAATGTCTAGATTGTTTCTTTTGGTCCACAGATAATCATTATGGAATAGTATATATTTTTTCACTGCTTTATGATTTTGATTTCCCGATCGCAAATAGGATAATAATTTCCTGCTAAATTGATAACAGACATTAGCAGATTTATCAGTGGTAAAAGTCACAAATATCTGCCTTTTTATATCAGTAAACCATTCTATGACTTCTTCTGTTATCTATCTATATATATATATATATATATATATATAACAGGAAACACGTTGGAGTAATGGATAGCGGCTTGGATTGAGGAATCAGAGAGCTGACTTCGAATTCCAGTCGAATCCATTACATTCACTTACGTGCTAATACCCTTGGAAAAGGTGTGAATCCTCTTCTTCTCCCTCCAGCAGGACAGACTTGGATGGCAACTGGTCTAGGAGAAGGACAACTCTGAATTCAAAACCCGCGGAGGGTCGTTTGTAGCACTTAGTGCACCAGGTTTCTGTATTCGACCCTTCAAAAAGTGTGGATGGTCCTGCACGAAACCTTCACCACTATAATCAAATCTCATGTGCTGTTGTCGGACTGTCGGTTTCCTAGAAACTGATCTGCTTGATCCTCATACGTCGAATTCGACGGGAGAGTCGAGTAGTATATATTATAATTATATTTTTTAAATGATTCCATCTCGACACAGAAATTACTATGTTTCTAAACTGAAACTTAAATCCTAAAGTTGAATTTTGAAATTAAACTTAAAATCTAGACCACAGTTTCATTCTCAAGCGATGTTTAGAATAACTTAATAATTTAGAATGTTTAGAGTTATTCTGTCCTGCTATTTATCCATAGCTGAGAGAGAAGTAGAGACTTTAGAAGGAACCGGAAACCTAATCCTAAACAAGAAACAAGGAATAAGCCTCTACTCCTGTTCAATAGAAGAATGTGAACTGAGAGATAGGTGAACATATCTACTCCTATATATATATATATATATATATATATATATATATATATATATATATATAAACAAATGTTTAGAGGTACAAAATTTATGTATAGTTTTAAAAACAAGGAATGTATCGATTTTAATTTTAAAAGTCTCTAAAAATTTCAGCCAACATCTCATCAGGAGACAATCAAGACTTGTTTTTAAAACTATATATATATATATATATATATATATATATATATATATATATATATATATATAAAGAATGATATGAATGAATTATTCGTTTTTGGCTGACACCTCATGAATGCAATGGACTATGTTACTTATTATAAAATAATCCCATTTTAAATTAAATTACCAATAATAATAATAATAATAATAATAAAATGGTAAAAGCATTCACCACCGTCAGTAGCTGTGGGATACTACTATCTTGACTGACAAGCGCTTGGCGGGCAATCGCCCTGATATCACATTTCGGTACAAGAGCGGCGATGAATGGATCCTGATTGATGTTGCAGATACTTTAAGATGCAAATATTTGACGTGCAGTGGAAAATACAAATTATCCGGTCTTGGCAGAAATCACATTTCTGGTTATCAAGTCAGGCGGCGATGAATGGATCCTGATTGATGTTGCAGAAATACATATTATCCGGTGATTAGCAAAATCAGAATAGTAATTCAGAATTAAATACGGTCTTGGCAGGGCAAATCAGAGAAATTATTATCCGGTCTTGGCAGGGCAAATCAGAGAAATACAGAATTATCCGGTCTTGGCAGGGCAAATCAGAGAAATACAGAATTATCCGGTCTTGGGGGCAAATCAGAGAAATACAGAATTATCCGGTCTTGGCAGGGCAAATCAGAGAAATACAGAATTATCCGGTCTTGGCAGGGCAAATCAGAGAAACAGAATTATCCGGTCTTGGCAGGGCAAATCTTTCCCAGAATTATCCGGTCTTGGCAGGGCAAATCAGAAATACAGAATTATCCGGTCTTGGCAGGGCAAATCAGAGAAATACAGAATTATCCGGTCTTGGCAGGGCAAATCAGAGAAATACAGAATTATCCGGTCTTGGCAGGGCAAATCAGAGAAATACAGAATTATCCGGTCTTGGCAGGGCAAATCAGAGAAATACAGAATTATCCGGTCTTGGCAGGGCAAAATCAAAAATACAGAATTATCCGGTCTTGGCAAAGAGAAATACAGAATTATCCGGTCTTGGCAGGACAAATCAGAAAATACAAATTATCCGGTCTTGGCAGGGCAAATCAGAGAAAAAATGAATTATCCGGTCTTGCAGAATTAAATACAGAATTATCCGGTCTTGCAGGGCAAATCAGAAAATACAGAATTATCCGGTCTTGGCAGGGCAAATCAGAGAAATACAGAATTATCCGGTCTTGGCAGGGCAAATCAGAGAAATACAGAATTATCCGGTCTTGGCAGGGCAAATCAGAGAAATATACCGAGCAGCAGCAGCTCAAGTTGATCCTTTTGTGGCTGGCGCACTCGGGACTATTTCCGGGAATATTTCTGCTACGCTAGACGTCTTGGGGTTATCTGACATCATTGAGAGTGCGCAGGTGCTAACAATACTTGAAACAACTCATATGCTTAGGAAGGTGCTGCGGAGATCATCATCACACCGACCGAAATATCTAAGTATCGCGGTGGATATTATATCAAATAACATTAATATTTATAATAGTAGTCGTACTTATTTTAATTGATTGATTTTTTGTTTTTTTTACGGTTTAACAACCTTTTAGAGATTATTTAAAACCAGAAAATATTTTTAGGCTGGAAGGATTTTTTGGCAATGATAATGTTTCACTAATACAAGCCCTACTAATTAATCCATAGCTAAGGGGAGAGATGATGGATTTATGCCTTCCTCAAGGGTACTTGCGCGTAAGTGAATATAACGAACCCGACTGGAATTGGAACACGGCTCTCCGATTTTCAATCCCGAGTCATTATCCATTGCAGCACTTGGTATTCATAAACGGTCACCCATCTAGGTATTGGCCAGGCTCGACGTCGCTTAACTTCGTCGATCGTACTTGAACTGGTGTTTCAACGTGATATTGTCGTGTGTTATACTGCTCGTACATCCAAGCTTACAACACCTGATAGTCACAAGCGGTCACCCATCTAGCTACTGGCCAAGCTTGACATTGCTTAATTTCGGTGATCGTACGGAAACCGGTGTTTCAAAGTGATATGGCCCTAAGCCCATATACCACCCGCACGTCCACGCTTAGAGCCGGTGGCGTTCCCAAGGGATCACTCATCTAGGCACTACCCGGCTCAACGTTGCTTAATTTTGGTGATCGTACGGAACTGGTGCTTCAAAGTGATATGATTCGTTTGGTTTCTTTAGTTTTACGTCATATCAACCTCAATGAGTTATTTAATGCCGACGAGATTTTTACAATAGATTCGTATGAATAGAATATATATTCTTTGTAAGGGATCAGTTTGTAGAACCAGTTTTATTGATTTACTTTTCCAAAGATGGCTGTTGTCAAGAATCTGCTTTCATTGATGTATTCTTTTCAGATACATGGTTTGTAGAGAAATTGATTTTGACATTCTCATTTGGTTTATAATTTTCAGTCGAGTCATACTGTTTCGAGAAATGATCTTATATCATTCACTTTCTCAAACAGCTCATAGATATTGCTTATATAAGTTTTTTGTCTTGAGAGAGCAAGATGTAATCACTCTGTTAATACATGTTTTATGCTGTTTTACATGCTTGGCATACTGGTTGATCTTTGTTTACTAAGTACAAGTGGATTATTCTCGTAAGGCCAATGTGTACACGGGTCAGTACCACTTCTTCCTTACAAGATTTTCTGGGAGTTGACTTGCATTCTCCTAGTTTGGGCTGAATTGCAAAGAGTTTATTGTGGGTTATCATCCCAGTACCATTCCTTTTCAATGTAATTATTAATAACCTCTTTAAAATCTGTGTATGTGATTTCAGTCCTTGTATCAACATTCACATCTAAAGTCAAATTAGCTGCTAGGACCGATTCATTATTACCTTTAACTCCAGCATAATTTATCTCTATGCTTGTTAATAATACTCATTTTGAATAATATTTTCATAAGTGGGTTGTCAGATTTTTTTTTCTTTCAAAGTCAAGAGGACAAATAGAGAGTTTGAAAAAATTAGAAAGTTTTTTTTTTTTTTTTTTTGTTCGTGGTCCAAGATAATGGTGAGAGCTAGCTCGATTGAATAAGACTGCAGTGAAAATATAGCTTCCTTTTTGGGAGGCACCATTTCTTCAGTAATATTTTGGTTCTCTGCTGCACATCCTATCTTGTCCTCACATTTTGAACCGTCTGTAAAGATGGGCGTATGGTTATGGAAGTTTGCCAATATGTCCTGAAACTTATCCTGGAATGTTAGCAGGTATGTCTTTTGTTTTGGGAAATTATGTCATTCTAGAACTTCAGATTGCTTGATAGTCCATGTTGGAATACTGGCTGCAGTAGTTCCTGATATATTTTAGAGCATGGTGCCCAACTCTTCAGCAATGGATCTCATCCTGAGTCTGTAGGATTGTATAGCATTATCTTTTTGTCAGAATAGATCACAGTAATTGAGTTCAAAGTTAATATTGTAAGCTCAGTTAGTAGGGCAGGATTTTATTTTTACATAGGTCTGTAGTGCCAGTTTAGTATGTTGTAAATGTGAAGGTGTTCTATTAGCTTCTGTGTATAAGCTTTGGATGTTTTTTTAAAAGCCCTGAGTATTAATCCGAGGTCTTGGGATAGGTTGCATTGAGAATTTTTAAGTACAACTTTCTGACCAACTCATATATAAAACTGACGTAATCCAGTTTTGAGCAAAGTAGGGATCTATATAAGCTGATTAATGTTAGTCAATCTTCAGTATGGGCCATTATACACACGAGTTGTAGGGCTTTGCTATATTTTGCTTTCAAATATTTTAGATGAAGGAATGAACGTTAATTTTTTTATCAAAGATAATGCCGAGAAACTTGTGTTGTTCCACTATTAGGATTTCTACTTCTAATTTTAAACATGGATCATTGTGCAATTTTCTTAATTTGAAGAAATGTAGGCATTTGGTTTTCATTTTGGAAAACGTAAACCAATTGTCAGTGTCCCTTTTGCGTATTTTATTGAGACATTGTTGGAGTTGTCTTTCTATGGTATTCATATGTCAAGATCTGTACATAATTAGAAAATCATCAACATATAGAAAGCATTTCACTCCTGGGCTTAGTGTTTTAACTATGGAGTTAATTTTTATGCAAAAAAAGTGTCACTGAAAGTAAGTCTCCTTGTGGAACCCCTTCTTGATCTTGCAGTTCCAATAGTGTACTTCCTATATGGAATTGAAACCTTTCAGAAAATTCCCTATGCATTGAATGAGCCTTCACTTTTAGACCCAGTTCATGCAGATCTTTCAAGATACCAAATTTCCATGTAGTATCATACACCTTCACTAAGTAAAAAAAGACTGCCATGAGATGTTCTTAATGAAGGCTTCTCTTACAAAGATTTTGAGACATACTAAGTGATCCATAGTGCTTTTTTTTTTTTTTTTTCTAAAAGCATGTTAGTCTTTACTGCTTAGGCCGTTAGTTTCTAGGTACCAAGTAAACCTGTTGTTGACCATTCTTTCTATAGTTTTACATAGGCAGCTTGTTAGTGCTATTGGACTGTAGCTTTCAGGGTTTGTGTCATCCTTTCTAGGTTTTAGAATGGGGTTCTTGACTGACTGTCTCCACATATCTGGATAAGTTGCCACTTGTCCATATGTTGTTATACAAATTTAGTAACAGGTGTAATATGTTGGGCAACTGTTTTATGAATTGATAATGGATATCATCTGGTCCTACAGCTGTATTGTGGGCTTTCTTTAAAGATTCATTTTGTTCCTCTAGAGTGAATGGTAGCTTATAGCTCTCAGCATTATATGATTTAAAGTTTAACTTTTGTTTTTCCACTTTTTGTTTGAGCTTCAGAAACTACTAGTTATTTTAAAGTTATTTATCGAGATGTTTTATAGCATTAGAATGATCTTTGCCAGCTATTTTCCTTATATTCCATACAGATTTTGTTTTTGTGATAGAGTTAGGTCTACTAATGTAGTTTTTGCAATATTCTTTTTTGCTTTATTTTCTGAGCCTGATAGCTTCTTTACACTTATCATTGAACCAAGGTCTGTTACATTTTATTTCTGTATTGAAGTTTTTGAAATGCATTCCTTTGCAATAGATATAAGGATTTCTGTAAAAGTCCTTGATACATTTACGTTCAGCTAGATTATCAAAACATTGGTTTTTAAATTTGTCCCAGTTCACTCCGCCCAACTTCCAGAGAGGATTTTTATCATCATGTTCTGAATTTCACAGGTGTCCTCCAGAATCTTTCAAGAGATATCCATATAGATTGATGGATCACATATGGATAAATCTATTGCAGAGAAGCTGCCAGTAAATAGATTTATGCAAGTTGGAGTTTTTATCATTATAAAAACATAAATCATTATTGTTTATAATTGTTTCTAAAGTCTTCATTTTATTTTGTGTCTTTACATATGGTGATGTGACAGTTAAAGTCTCCTAGTATCATAAAATATGCAGAGAGTTGCGTTATTTCATGAATTTCAGCTTTATTTACTCACATTAGGTGGCATATATGCCAAGTAAATGTTTATCGTCCTATGAAGAGCCATTTTGACAGTAGTTGTCTGTAACTTAGTTGTCAAATTTATTTTACTTTAGGGTACATCATTCCCAACTCGGATAGATGTACTGCTAGATACATGAATATCCAGTGTCATGTGTATGGTTGTATTATTGATATTCTTTTATATTCACTTTATCATCTTACTTAAAGAATGTTTCTTGTAGGCAAACAAATGTTGATGACAGATCTGTTATTAACAGCAGCAGTTCATTTATATTTGCCTTTATTCTATGGCAGTTCCATTGAATTATCTTATGCATGGCTGTTTAAACGTTTTTGGAAAATTTTACTTACAGAAATTTAGGATATTAATATATAGAGAGAGTGAAAAGACATCTTTTCAATAACTTCAGTGGTAAAATATTATGATGTATTGATATTTTGTATAATATACGTCTGATGGCAAAACAGACGATAATTTTTGTTGCCGCTCTTTTTCATGGAATAGGAAGCTGCAGACGACTCCTTTTTTATCAGAGGAATTGATCCTCAGTCAGATATTTATCCTCGGTCGTTTAAGACGTTTTTTTTCTGGCTCCGTGGTTAACTGATTTAGTTAGCCACGTAAAATGAAGTGTTACCTTTAATAATTCGACTTACAACATCGAATTATTTACCTTTATCGAGTTAATATTTATTTAGCTTTTAATTAGCTATATTACTGGTTTTATTTATGGATGGGAAGAGGGAATGGTGAGTTTTCGCATCGAAGGGCTTTGTGAGAAAATGTTTAGAATTCCGTAGCTAAGATTTGTTTATATTTGAAAAGCTTTGAAGAGAAGATTTTATTAGCTTCGGTAGAATTCCGAAGTTAAGAGAAGTAATTTAATTCCCTAGAAGCGGAATCATTTCATTCGATTTATTTGTTTGTTGACTCGGAGAGTCAACGTTTCTTTCTGTTTGGCGGAGTTGTTCGATGCGAGGAATTCTGCCCCTATTCACATTCTTAACTTTAAGATTTAAAATATGTTAAAGGATATTCTTCATAGAATAAGATTTTAAGAGCCTAGATTAGGCTTTGTGTTTTATAATTTACATTTTCAGCTCCAGAGGAAGTTGTGGACTCTTCTAATTTTCTAACCTTCTCCAACCTTAAAAAAAGCATAATCCATATTATACGCCTACGCGCAGATAACGCTCAACCAATAAAAAATGCAAAGAATCGAATCAAGCAATTCTATTGGTAGATCGCCTCCCAAAGCAAGAATTGCGCCAAAATATCTTGAGCCACTTTCGAAAACCCAAAAGGTTATAAAAGGAGAAAAGACAACCCCAGTCAGTCAGTCTAGCGAACTCGCCGATCGATTGCCCTAATTAATCCACGACATTCAAAAAACAGAATTTTACCGCGCATTTTTTGACGAACTTCAACTGACTCACCTGAAACACTCAACGAACAACTATCGAAACTTTGAACAATATTTCTTATGCACATTGATTTATTCATTACTAAAAAATAAGAAATACGAATCACGAAAACAAACACAGACACGTTC